GAAGCCTTTATACTGTGAGCCCGTGACGTGGAGTCCGGGTCCGTGTCTACCACCGCAACCGATTCTGAAAGGCCGCGCTCCGACGCGACAGCATACTGGCTTCTATACCAGCGCAGTCCAACCTTCCTGTGATGATTTCGCGGGCGTGGGCGAGTGAGGGAGTGGCGACCGCGGACGGGCGTTCGCCGCCCCTCGCGAGGCATTGGGCCAGCATCAGCGACGATGAATCCTGGAGTCCCGTGGTATTCGGCACCCGGACGACAGTATCGAGCGTTTTGGGCGGCTTGAGGGATGACCTGGTCCGGCCCATGGTCGTTGCCGAGGTAACGCCGAGCGGTCGAGTTGCCCCGCGCCCAGGTACGGGAATCCATGAAGCTGCTGGCCGGGTGTCGCAAAACCTGGAATAGCAAGAAGAAATTCCAACCCCAAGTTCGAACCCTAACAAGCGCCAAATCAGCTAAGACCGCTCACCACGGCCCGTAAAGGTCTGCCTCTCCCGTTGATGGCTGTGTCGACCAATATCTAGGGCCTCTCTGGTCTGCCTTGCGGCGGTTCGCTCTGGCTCCCTTGCTGTTCGCCCGAGCCTATCCCCTGCCGACATCTTGACGTCTGAATCAGGGTCCAGAATCTTCCCGCCCGTCCCGTTCAGGTGTCCAAATACCCACCCAGACCCCTTATTCAGATTTTTCCACTCCGCCACCACAGCTTGCCAAGGCGCTAAGAATCACCAGAAGCACTTTCCTACCGCTCCCTGTCTCCACTCTTCACACACACATCCCGCGGACATCTCCTCTTCCGACGGACCAATCCTTGCAGCGTGTACCACCTATAGCGTAAGCTTAATATAGATTCTTATACTATATAGTCTTATTATACAGTGTGTAACCCAATGCAAAAAACCTGCACATGTAGAGACTGTCTGTACATCCACAGCGCAACAAATCAAAAAGGAGAGTCTTGCATGGCAAAACCAAACTCAGAAAGTCGCTGACGCTGGGTGGGCCTTCCATCATCACCGCGGCAAGTAGGCGCCTTCGCTTTCCTGGCGTTCCTGGGCCTAGAAATCTGGCCGGAAAGTGGCGGTGCCGGCGGGCGCTATACTTGGGGCCACAAGAGTAGCGATGGCGGAGACATGCTGGGAGAAGCGATCGACCAGAGGGCCTCTGGGAAGCGGACCGTTGTATCTGGGACCACGTGGGGCGGGACACCTCTACGGTCTGCTGGCATCACTGCGGGGCCGGTTGTTCCGAGACGCGCTATTTCGCCGAGTTCTACTGCCCCACAACGGCCGGGACAGCGTGCCGCCCCGCCTGCTGGACGACGGCGCTGCTGCTCCAGTTCCCACGACAAGTGAGCGACGCCGAGGCCAGGCCGGGCTGTACTTTGACCTCCGGTGGGAAAGTGGCCTGGGGATTGAGGTGGAGGACCGGCCCCTTGCCAAGACACACTGCAGGTGTTCCGCGCCCAGCTGATCCTGCACGACCAAGGTGCTGGAGGTGTTCGAGTCCACCTGCGGCTGGCCCGGGAGTCGGGCTACCTGAAAAAGCGGAGCATGCGGGTTGCGCTGGACACGACCAACATCCTGGGGTCGGGTGCGCGGTGAAGGACAACCTGCAACCTGTTGGCGGACGGGGTCGTCAAGCTGCTGCGTGCGCTGGCAGCAGTGGAGAAAGTCTCAGCGTCAAAGAATGCCAAGGCCCGGGATATACGGGCGGTACCTTGTCCCTCCATGCATCAAGGGAGAGCCGCCATCGACTGGTCGGACCGTAGGCGCGCAGGCGCTGCTGGCCGGATTGTGGCGAGACGCGGACCGCTGTTTGGAGTTGTCGCGGCAGGCGCAGGGGAGTTGCCAAGACGGTGAGGAGCGCAGCACATCGTGACGGCGGCGGAACTGCTGGGGCAGTTGCTGCTCCAGGACATTGAGCGCAGACTACGGCGACGGCGATGACGGCGTGAGCCTCAAGGAGGGGTGAGCCGGGACCGGATGATGTCGGTGCACGATCCCGGAGATGCGCCACGGCCACAGAGCAGCAGCCGCGCTTTGACGGGCACAAGGCGGCGATTGTGGTGGATACCGATTCCCAGCTGATCACCGCCGTGGCGGTGTACTGCCCGGCAACGCTCCGGACAACCTGGGGGCGCTGGAACTGGTGGAACAGAGCGAGGCCAACACCGGTGTACCGGTGCAGGAGGCCATGGGCGACGCCGCCTATGGGGACGGAGCTACCAGGCAGACCTTCGCCGATGTCGGGCCGCAAGCTGGTAGCCCGGGTGCCAGGCCGGCCCGACCGGAAGCACTTTCCCAAGGATGACTTTGTCATCGACCTGGCCGCGGGCAGTTGCACCTGTCCGGCGGGACAGGTCACCCACACCATCGTGCCAGCGGGAAAGCGGACGGATGCCGCGGGGCGGGTATACCGCTTGCAGGCCTTCCAGTTCGACGGGGCCGAATGCCGGACATGTCCACTGCGGTCCCAGTGCATCGCAGCCAAGGGCAGGAAGGGACGGCGGGTGCTGATCCATCCCCAGGAAGGCCTCCTGCAGGAGGCACGGGCGTTGCAGCAGAGCGCCGCCTACGACGAATATCGAGCGCGACGCGTGGCGGTGGAACACCGGTTGGCCCGACTGGTCCAGTTGGGCATCCGCCAGTCCCGCTATTTCGGCAGGGTCAAGACGCGATTCCAGCTGTATCTGGCGGCTACGGTGGCCAACCTGACCCTGGTGGCGGGCAAAAGCGACCTGTCGGACAGTGTCGGCGGCGGAGCGGAAGCCCACCGCGTCGTCCGCAGTGATGTCCCCAGTGATGTCCAGGCTGTTTCCCACGGTGTTGTCGCCAATGCTACGGCCATTTTCGGCGCGGTCCGGCTCGGAATACTGTGGACCGGCTTCTGCTCGACGGCCGGCTGTACTGCCGAAATCCCTCTCCCAACCAGGGCTTTTCGGCCCGTCGGTTCTAGGCATGAGTCACCTTCCTAGTACGACTGAGATGGAAGCCGGGTCGGCTCACCAGAGTAGGGGAAGCGGACGCAAGCGCCATTGTCAGTGGGTGTCGCGCGGGACAGGTGGGGTCTGGATCTTGCCTGGTCGAATGCAGCCCTTGTGGATGCCCTGCATTCATTCGGAAAACCACCTAAAACCCGAACGCCATGTGTAAAATGGTGCTGCGACTGCAGTGGGTTCATAGCGTGCATGAATGTATACGGCTCATTCTGAGACTGTCGAAGGATGGCCTCTTGCCGCGATGGTTCGACAATGCATCACCATGAGCGTAGTAACACGTGGCCCTTCTCATCTAGAAAGGGCCCTCTCCGATACGAGAGGGCCTTTCTATGTACTGTTGAACTGTCCCGTCCTACGCAGCAGGCTGTCTCCCCTCGCCCTTTACAAAGTCCGCCGTCCCAGTGCCAGGGCTGGATGGTGGTAGTGGGGTTGATGCAGGCGCCGGTGGTGAAGATGCTGCCGTCGACGATGAGCAGGTGTGGGCAATCGTGGGCCCGGCCCCAAGCGGTCCACCACCGAGTGTGTTGGGGTCGTCGCCATGCGCGCGGTGCCAAGCAGGTGCCAGCCAGCGTGCGCCGGATGTGCGAGGTGTAGAACTCCTTGGCGCCGGCAGCCTCCAACACCTCTTGGCTCGCTCCACGCCATGGTCCAGTATCTGTCGGATTCTCGCTGACGGTGTACTGGATTCGGGGAGCGGGAATGCCGTGGGAGATCGGTCAACACGGGTCCAGGGTTACTGGTTGCTCTCCTCGGGCAGGTCTTCGGTCATCACGGTGATGCCGATGGTGTGGCCGTAACGTTCGCCGAATATACGGTGGTGTCCTGTCCCCAGGGCACGTTCCTGCTGGGATGCCGCCAGGGCAGTGGGCAGGGCGAACTGGTAACGCCGTAATCTGCAGGTCATACCCGCGAACAAAGCCCGTTTCAGGTCCGTCTCGTAGAACTCCTGGCCAGATGGAACTGCCCGGGGACCGGCCTCGCCGCCCAGCATTCTTCAAGATGCCCATGGCGCCGCCGCAGGGTGTGTGCATCAGTTTTTGCCCACCAGGCCGTGCTGTTGGCAGGGCCTTCGGGGAACAGGGCAGACTTGAGTTTAGCAGCAGGCGGGCGGTGCCCACGCCGTTGCCGGCCACCACCACGACCCGCGCCCGCTGTTCCTGCAGGTTGCCGTTGGCGTCATAGTAGAGGGCTCCGGTGGCCGCCCGACTGGTCATACCAGGATTTCCCGTTACCGGCAGGTCTTGAGGCGGGCGCGCACCGGCGGAGGGCCCGGGGCAGTAAATAATGTCGGCGCTGGCCAGGGAGCGCAGGTGCCGCCGGTAATCGGTTGGCGACACGTCGTACTCCACGGAGGCTATGGCGCTGTCCGAGGACCACCAGTGCCAGCCCAGCTTGTTGAAGCGTCGCCAGCAGTTCACCACAGCCGATGGCCAGGGGAGGCGTGGGCCGTTCGGGGCTTGGGCGGATAGGCCGGGTCGCCCCGCAGCCCGAGACGCCGTTCATCCGGTCGTTCAGGTCGTAGTAGGGTTCAAGTCCGCGGTAGGTCATGGCCAGTCGTCGGCCACGCCGTCCTGGGGACTTGAGGACAAAGTCGGAGGGATGGAAGCGGGGAAAGTGGGAACCCCAGTGGATGGGTGCTGCCGCCCACGGCGTTGTACATCAGGGGCGAAATGGGCGTCTCCGCCTCGTTGACCGGATAGTCCTCGGGCAAGCCGCGGACGTTGGGGTTGGAGTGGAAGTCGGTCTGCCAACGGATTTGCGCGTCAGGCTCGCTGGTGGGAAAGGCGTCCAACGGCACCCAGCCGCCCTGCTCCAGGCGACAACCTGATGCCGGCCAGGGTGAGGCTCCAGGTGAAAGCGGCGCCGGAGCGCCCGCCCCGATTACCAGCACATCAGTTCATCGTGTCGGTTGACCATACTTCTCTCCCTTTTTCGTTTCATCAACGAAGGGTCATGAAGAAACGTTAAGGTATGTTTATCCACGAACAGGCACTAATCTCACTACGGCTTACTTGGCCTGACTATTCATTCGTGAACCTTCTTGGGCCATTCGTGGATAAAGTCTTACCGCCGCTCAAACACCGCGGCCACGCCCTGGCCGCCGCCTACACACATGGTCTCCAGTCCGAACTGGGCGTCGCGACGCTCCATTTCGTGCAGCAGGGTGGTCAGGATGCGCGCGCCGGTGGCGGCGATGGGGTGCCCAGGGAAATGCCCGACCGTTGACGTTCAGCTTGTCCTCGTTGGGCAGCTTCCACTCCCGCAGCACCGACAGCACCTGGGCGGCGAAGGCCTCGTTCAGCTCGATCAGGTCCATGTCCTCCAGGGACATCCCGATCTTGGGCATCAGCTTGTTGACCGACGGTACCGGCCCGATACCCATGTAGGCGGGGTGGCAGCGGTTACGGCCAAGCCCCGCAGGTAGGCTATGGGGGTCACGCCCAGCTCTTCCACCTTGTCCTCGGCCACCACCAGGCACACCGAGGCGGGCGTCGTTCTGGCTGCTGGCGTTTCCGGCGGTCACGGTGCCGTCGGCGTCACCGGCCGCAGACGTCCCAGGGCCTCCATTGAGGTGTCAGCCCGTGGATTTTCGTCCCTTACAAGTCCACCGGATCGCCCCGGCGCTGGGGGATGGGCACTCCTATGATTTCCTGGTCAAACTTGCCCGCTTCCACGGCGGCCACGGCCCGCTGGTGGCTGCGCAGGGCGTACTCGTCCTGCTCCTGGCGGGTTATCTCGTACTGCTTGGCCAGATTCTCGGCCGTTTCCACCATGCCGGAGATGTAGCCGAACCGCTCCTCCGGCGAGATGGTCTCCCGCGCCCGCACCAGCCGGTCGTGGAAGGTCTGGGAGCCGAAGCGGCCGCCCCCAGCGGGCCTCGTTGACGTAGTACTCGGCGTTGCTCATGCTCTCGACGCCACCGGCAACCACCGCGTCGGCGTTTTCGGTCTGCACCAGCATGGCGGGCGTGTGAGGATCGCCTGCAAGCCGAGGAACAGCGGCGGTCAAGCTGGTAGCCGGGCACCTCGATGGGCAGGTCGGCCTTGAGTGCGGCCAGACGTCCAATGGCGGGATCTCGCCGCTGGGATAGCCGCCAGCCCAGGATGGACGTCGTCCAGCCTGGCGGGGTCGATGCCGCTGCGCTCGACGGCTTCCTTGATAACCAGGGATGCCAGGTCGGCGGCGGAAACATCGCGCAGGCCTCCGCCAAAAAGTGGCCACGGCAGTCCGCACCGGCGCTACTATAGCGACTCCTCGCATGTGAATCTCCTTGTTGAAAACGTAAAGTAGGGGGAATGCCCGCTTTTCAATGGGCATATAATACCCGCTCACGCTGTTGATGTCGAATAAGGGAGCGGGTATAGAAAAGCAAACGATTTTTCTTTCTGAATGGTTTACCCTACAGTCATTCTCAGCTGAGCCCCCTCTGTCATTCCGAGCGATTACCTTACTGTAATTCTGAGCGGAGCCGAAGAATCCAAAATCCTGCCCTGCAAACCAACTGCCCCGACTCCATACCATCGTCCATCGACAGCCGACCGCGCCCAACATGTCTCTCGGGACCGTGCCCGAGAAGAAAATGTAATCACCCCGGTCGAACAAAGCCGACGGCCCGTGCTAAAATGAAGTCCACAAATGGGGGTAGCCCGTCGGGAGAGCACCTAATGTAGCTCAGTCGGGAGCACCTGCTTTGCAAGCAGGGGGTCAGGGGTTCGAATCCCTCACCTCCACCAATTACCAACGTATAGAACAGTCTGACCTGACGGCAAAAGTGTAAGCTGTGAATTGCGAGTAGGCTTCTTTTGAGGCAAGATACCGCACGGGAAATTATTTCGGTTAGAAGCAGGAATTAATTTTGGCACTGAACTGACTAGAAATGTCCGCAGTGTCGAAATTAACGTAAAGAAGCGATAAATTCAACAAATTAAATGGGGGAGGCGGAATCCCCTCTCCCCCCCTCTCCCCTCCAACAACCCCGCGCTCCCTCCCGCCCCGCCCGCCTAGCTCCACGAGCTCACGTCCAGGCAGGCTCTCTCTATAATTCGCCCCCCTCCCCAATCTCTCGCCCGCGTCCACTAATAGGGAGGAACGGAAATTCAATACCCTACTAAACACAGTCCCCCCTGATTCCCGCGAACCGTCACCACCAACCCGAGCCGAGGTGCTGGGTCATGAAAGGAACCACCGCGCTACCACAGCCGAAATACATCCGCGGAAGAGAGGGGAGGAACGAGTTGTCCAGAGACATTACAAATACTCATAGCCTCCTGGGCGACTGCCAGCTATGGCACCCAACATCAGCCGCTCCTTCCCTCATCCGTTAAACTACCTGCCTTCAACACCGCCCAGCGCCCCAACCACACTCCCGAAACAATCCCACCTCCACACCCCCCGTCCGCCCTGGCACTCCGGGGGCCAGAGCACGCCCCCTCCCTACCTCCGCACTCCCAGCTTCTGCTCCGCGCCTGTCCGAGAGCCCGATCCGCCGAGCGAGTCTGAACACCCTCGGCCCGCTTCCCCACCGTCGTCGCTCGCGCCTACGTGCTCTCACCCAATACACCTTCTCTCCCTGACTCCTTTTTTTCTCACCCTTGCCGGTGTAATGGCGCGTCGATGCTAAATTTTCCCAAATGCTTTATCGATACAGGGTATGTAGAGGAGTTTACCTTGATTTACTGTCCATACACAGACAAGGAGATTGAGGAAAACGAAACTAGTATAGAGCATATAATTCCATCGTCTCTCGGTGGTGCGGACGATCTCGCAATTAGAGCTGATGCATTCTTTAACAAAAAGGTAGGAAGCGAATTAGACGGAGCGCTCTCTAATGAGTTCTTTTTTGCTCTACGACGAACGAGATTCGATTCAAGAGGTCACAGTGGCAAACAACCTTATGCAACCGTAAAGAATGCCAGGTACGGTGAGGATAATCGTCCAGCACAAGCTCGCTTCAGTGAAAGAACCGGACTAAAGATATGGGATGCGAAAGACAGAAGTTACAACAATCGCGTGCCCACATTCCAGATCTCTTTGTCTATCAATATCGATCTCCCGGTGAGATTTGTTGCTAAGGTAGCCCTTTCGTCCGGGTATATGGTCTATGGGGACTTGTTCCGCGAACATGTTGACCATAGACAATTCCGTGACACAATGAACATTGACCCCTCAAAACTAGACCATAGCAAGAGTGCCGATGAACTCGGTTTGGGACACATGGCTGTTAATGTGGACACTTACCTGCATAAATTGGTTGCAGAAACCAACCCCAAGCTTGCTTGTCTTCGTTCATTTTGTTCCGACGTTAAGGGTTCGGTTATTGTGTTAATGCAAGGCAATGATTGTTTTGCGGTAACGGTTGGTATTCTCGGCCTATACGTTGGCACGGTAATCGTTCCAGCGGATTCCGGAGTATTTCCTGACGAAGAAGATCATTATCGGGGTCACGTATTGGCTGTCATTGGAAAGACATTGAAGCGATTATCTTTAGATGATGCACTTAAGCAATGGGTAGGGCTTCCTAGTCACACTGCCACCATGATCGATTTTGAACCTGTGAAACAAAGGTGAGCGGAATATTTCACCGATGCCCGAGTATTCCGTATGGTTAGCTACTTTCGTTTTCCCCAGTGCACGTTATTGCGCTTTTGGAGGGCGATCCGCAAGGCAGATCGCCCTTAGAGATCATCTCTGGCCTTAATTGCTCGTCAACGATATTGTGGCGTTCGCGCAGGATGCATCCTTCCCGAATTCATTGATGGCCGGGTCCTGCAACAATGCGAAATGGCAGGAATCCTAGCCATATTTGAATGTGTTTCGCCATTCATCATCAAAAGAATAACGGCTCTGGCAATACTCTATTGAACACCCCCACCCCTCACTCCCCAACCAATCCAAACCCACTCAGCACCTGCCCGTATCCGCCCGGCCAAAGTAAATCAGGCGGCAGCCCACGAAGTCTGCAAAGGGTCCGTCGGTGAGGAAGTTGTACCCCGCTGCCGGCCTCCAATGAAAGACATTTTGCGAAACTGGCACCATAGAGCTGGAAATATGTACAGCGACGCCGGGGTACCGCTCCCCCAACCAACCGTTCCAGCACTCCCACATCTGCGGCCCCGCAAGAGTTTGTGCTAATATACCCCCATACGTATCCGCCCTTGGCGGAACATGGAGGAATTTCGAATGGCAACAATGATTGACGGGGAGGCTTATCTGGGACGTGTTATGGTCCGGCCACTCAGCAAGCAGGGCGACGTTACTATGTACCTGTGGCCACTGCGCTGCTTGAGGGGCAAGTTCGGTGGTCCTACCTTTGGTGTGGACGTTAACGGTGTGGAAATTATCCGCTTCGACCCCCATGGTTCCCGTGGCCACTGGCACAAGGGCGGCTACGACAAGCTTGGCGCCGGCGGTTCCCACGTTGATTTCCCAGAGGGCGTTATGGAAAGCGAAGATCAGGTCGAGTGGGCGTTGAATCAGCTTCGCGAGCAGACCGGTAATTACCTGACCGAGGCTGGATATGCTGAGGCCGCTGCCAACCTGGACCCGGAACTTCTTGGCGCCGCTGCCGACGCCGTCATGGGTCACCTGGAATCCCAGGGCGACCTGAGGGCCGACGCTATCGCCAAAGAACTCATCTCCGCATAAACCTGCGAGATGTTGCGTTCAATTGCGGGGGCGAGTTACCACTCGCCCCCGCTCCTTTTAAGTCTACCGCTTAGCCATGAGCGAACAAGGGCGCACATAGTGCGCCCCTGTAATCTCACAATGGGGGATGGCCGCGAAGGCTAACCGGCGCTAATGCCCAACTCCGCCTGCAAGCCCCGGATGGTCTCGGCACGGCTGCGACTAGGGACACGCTGCCGCATACCTATTGGCTCGTTCTCTACCTCCGGCACCACTTTGATGGCGACGAAAACCGGGCCGGTATCCTGCATTATTTGGTCCAGATTGGTGACGAAGTCTTCCAGATCCTCGAAGCTGTAGGCAGAGGAATAACCGGCTTCTTTGGCCACTCCGGCATAGTTAATGTCTTGCGCGTTGGGGACCGGCTGCCCTCCGGTGGTAGCGTAGCACTCATTGTCCAACAAAATGTGACAGAAGTTTTGCGGCTGCTTGCCGGCGATAGTAGCCAGTATCCCCAGGTTCATCAGCAGCGCGCCTTCGGAATCGAACAGCACCACCTTTTCGTCGGGCAGTCCCAGGGCCAGTCCCAGGGCCGCCGAGGTGGTCTGGCCCATTGCTCCACCCAGATTGAGGTCCCGGTTCTCGTTGGTGCTGACTTCCCGCCAGTGGCGACCGGAAGTGCCGGTGGGAATCACGATAGCATCGCCCCGGTGTTCCTGGAATGCTCGGAATACGTCCGTGGACTGAATCATTCTTTGCCTCCCTTAAGTGGTTATAGCTTGCTCCGACTCCCATCCCACCCTGGAATGACGTACCCCGGCTGGCAGGGCGCAGGTGGAGCAATAATTTTTGCGAGGAGTTATCCGCCTAGCGGTTGAACCCGTGGTATTCGTCGCCCACCAGGATAGCTACGGGCCGCTTGGTAGTCCGCGCCTCCTCGAAGGCTGTGGAGATACGCTCAGCGTCGGCGTCCTGCTCCACCAGGTAGTAGTTGATGCGATAGGCGTTCAGGAACGGCTCGGTATAGCGGGCCACCGAGTCGGTTATTACGCCGTGGCGGTTCCAGCCACGATAGCCTACCACCATAACCAGTGGGAAACCGGAGTCCAGGGCCATACCCCTGATGGAGTCGCCCGATTCCATCATGCCCGTGTTCTGAATCAGGCACACCGGCTTCTTGCCGCCAATTATCAGCCCCAGGGCTATGGCGAATGTCTCACCTTCTCGGGAAGCAGGGACAATGTCCAGCCAGGGCTGCTCCTTCATCAACTCATAAAGGTAGTTGGTCTCGCTGTCAGGAATGGTCACCACATGGGTGACACCGTTCTTCTTGAACTCCTCTATCAGGTTTTCGGGGCTCAGGACCGCTGCCTGCTGTTCAACCATGAAAGTCCTCCTCACGTATGCTGTGAACCTGGCAGCCACGGTTTCCGCTGCCTGGGCAAAGGCCCGCTGCTGCCGTGGACTCCGCCCATTATATTGACCCATACCGACAGGGTCAATTTTGTGATTCCAAGCGAGATATTGAATGGCCCAGTCGCCACGGATGTGATGTCACCTTGTTCCGAAGCCGGCGGTTGACCGCCCATACCCACAGTGCTAGCCTACCCTTCATTCACGGAGCCAATCTCTTCAGCCAACCAGAGGGAGGTCCAGACATGGCGGGAACGCTGGAACACATAAGGGTAATTGACTTTGGACAGTACATTTCCGGGCCCTTGGCAGGGATGTTGCTGGCTGACCAGGGCGCCGACGTTATCCGGGTTGACCCACCCGGCGGACCCCGCTGGAATACCCCGGCCAACTCGACGTGGAACCGGGGCAAGCGAAGCATAACCCTGGACCTCAAGCAGGCCGATGACTTGGCCACCGCTCAGTCCCTTATACAGGGCGCCGATGTGGTGGTCGAAAACTTCCGGCCCGGGACTATGGACCGGTTGAGGCTGGGCCCCGAGGAGATGACTCGGGCCAACCCCCGCCTGGTCTACTGCTCCATTCCGGGATTTGCGTCGGACGATCCCAGGGCGGCCATGCCGGCTTACGAAGGAGTGGTGGGAGCGGCGTCGGCCACCTTCCGACCGCCCAACGCCAGTAGCCCGCGTCCGGTTTACACGGCCATTCCCATCGCCTCGGTCTATGGGGCCTTCCAGTCGGTGGTGGCCATCGTCGTTGCCCTGAACGCCCGGGAGCGAGATGGCTTGGGGCAGCGAATTGAAATCCCCCTTTTCGACAGCATGTTCCAGTCCCTGGGGCGTTTCGGAGTGCGGGTGCACAACGCTCCGCCTTCGATTCCGACACTGCAAGAGTTGTGGGGCGGCATCTACCAGTGCAGCGACGGCGAGTACGTGCGATTCGGCGGCTCTGGTAACCAGAACTTCCGGAATTTTGTTGAAGCGGCCGGGATTACATCGTGGGATGACGAGGGGCTTACCGACTTTGACCGTCCTCTGGACGGCCCCCAATTCCGCGGCGAGGCACAGCAGCGGATTCAGGCACTCTTCCTGACTCGTACCGCCCAGGAATGGGAAGACCTGATCGCCGAGGCGGGCAGCGAGGGGGCGGTCTGCCGCACCAGCGCCGAGTGGTTTGACCATCCCCACACCCGCGCGGCCCAGATGGTGGTGGAATTAGACGACCCCGCCTACGGCAAGATGCTGCAGCCGGGAATCAACGCCCGCATGTCGTTGACACCGGGCAGCGTGCGCGGCCCGGCTCCCACTCCCGACCAGCACCGGGGAGAAATCCTCGCGGAGTTGAGGCCTCGTCCCGCTTCCGAGGCGCCGGTGCACCAGGACGCCATGCGTTCCGCCCTTGACGGGGTGAAGGTGCTGGACCTGTGCATTATCCTGGCCGGCCCGACTATGGGCCGGACGCTGGCCGAATACGGGGCCAATGTTATCAAGATAGATAACCCCAGCCGCGGCTCCACCGTGGCCCGGCATAACGACATCAACCGGGGCAAGCGCAGTATCCTGCTGGACCTGAAATCTGAAGAGGGGCGCGACGTCTTCTGGAAGCTGCTGGAGGATGCCGACGTGGTGGCCCAGAACTACCGGGCCGGCAGGCTGGAAAGGCTGGGCCTGGGGTACGAGGAAGTGCGAAAGCGCAAGCCCGACATAATCTACGCTTCATTGAACGCTTACGGGCACATCGGCCCCTGGGCGGAGCGTCCCGGTCACGAGGGCTTTGCCCAGGCCACTTCCGGGATGACCCGTCGCTTCGGCGGCGACGGTATGCCCGAGTCGCAGCCCAATCCGGTGAACGACTACGGGACGGGTTTCATGGGCGCCTACGGGGTGGCTCTTGCCCTGCTGCACCGGCAGCGCACCGGAGAGGGCCAGCATATAGACTCAGCCCTGGCCTACACCGCCATGACGCTGCAATCGCCCTTCATGCAGCTTTACGAGGGCAAGCAGTGGAACGAGACCAGCGGGCAGGACGCCCTGGGAACCGGTCCGCTGCATCGGGCCTACCAGGCCAGTGACGGCTGGTTCTTTGTTGGAGCCCAGGCATCGGACCTGTCAATGCTTTCAGGCCTGGAGGGACTGTCTGGAGTAGATTCCCTTCAGGGGAATGCCCTGGCTTCGTCGCTGGAAGAGCGGTTCCAGGGGAACAGCGTGGCGTTCTGGGTAGAGCGACTGGCCGCTGCCGGTATCGGCGCGCAGCGGGTTGTCACCAACGTCAGGGAACTGATGACCGACCCCTGGGTGGAGTCCCACGGCCTTAGCATCACTCGGGAGCACGACGAATTGGGAATGGTGACAACCTGCGGTCCTGCGCCGCGACTGTCGCGCACCCCGGTGCGCCCGGGCATTCCTGCCCCCAAGCCTGGTTCCCACGCCCGGGAGATTCTGGAAGAACATGGCCTGGGAAGCCGCTACCAAGCCCTGTTGGATTCGGGAGTTGTGCTGATTGATGGCGTGGCTGCGGGGTAGGCTTCCCGCCCTGGCAATAATTTTGGGCCGCACTTAAGTACGTGCGGCCCATGTCATTCACCTTGCCGGATGCCGGGATACGCTGCTCCCAGTGAGGCTGCTGGCCTTGTGTATACGGGCGTACTGCCCAGGCCACTGTGGCTCCCCGAGGTCTCCTGGCGTCCCTACCCCTTGAACTGGCTGGTTACGGGTTGGTGGCCGGCGTTTTCCGGGTAGGCTTCCTCGCGGTATAGGGCCATGTCCTTCATCACCGGAATGTCCTGGATGGAGAACAGGATGGCCTCATCGGTGGAGTCATTGGCGTGCTCGTGCCAGACCCAGGGCGGTACAACGAAGAAATCTCCTTCGTTCCAGTCGAACCGCTGCCCGTCGATCACGCTGTACCCCTGGCCTTTGTACACCTGGTACACGGCGCAACTGGTCTGGCGGTGGGCGCGGGTGCAGATGCCGGGACGAATCAACTGGGCCCAGCAGGTCATGGTTCGGAGCACCGGTCCGCCGGTCACCGGGTCGCTGAACTCCATGGCAACGTCGTCAAAGGGGCTGGCGTCTATTTCCGCCAACTTTTGCAGGGCATCATATGTCTTGTCCCACTTGTAATGCCACAGGGGGGAATAGGGTACGTTGGTATCTTCCCAGGCCGGACGCATAGCGCCGGAGGCGAACCGCTTTTCCGACTCGGCCACGCCGACTATGGGCTGCTGGTCTTCGGGGAACGCCTCGTAGAAGTTAGCCCGCAGGTACCGGACCAGGGGGACGTCCAGCCCATCCAGCCAGATCATGGGCTCATCGCCCTCATTGTTGTGGTCGTGCCAGGTCCAGGAAGGCGTGAGAACCAGGTCGCCCGGCTCCATGTAGCACTTGTCACCCTCGACAGTCGTGTAAGCTCCCTGTCCCTGCAGTACCCACCGGATGGCCGTGGGCGTGTGCCGGTGCGCCGGGGCGCACTCTCCGGGCAGGAGCAGTTGCAGCGCCGCGGTGATGGTATGGGTAGTGCCCCGGTCCAGGCCCGGCGTGGCCAGGCGCAAGGTACGCCGTTCCACGTCCCGGTCCGGTGTGACCAACTCGCCGCTCTTGAGTACCAGGGGCTCCACCTCGTTCCAACGCCAGAGGAAGGGTTCCATTTCGGGCAAGGGTTGACCTTCCCCCTGCATCCAGCCGGGCTTAAGGCCGATGCTGTCTGCGGTGTCATAATACTTTTGGGCATCTTCCGGTTTTACCTTCTCGGGTACTGCCATTGTGCTACCTCCTTTATTGTAAATTTGAGATTAGAGCTTCTGCAGCAAGAGCCGGGGGCCAGTCTACCGGAAACGGGGAGCTACTTCCTGCCCGAATAGACGGGCCGATGTATCCAATAACTCCGGGGATATGGTGCCGCCCACGTTTGGCTCCATGATGACGCCCGACAGGCCCAGAAGGTCGCGCCACTCTTCGAGTCGCTGGGCCACGAAGTCGGGAGTGCCGTAGATGAGGCGGTCTTCCAGGGCGTCCTCGTAGGTCATGTTGGCCATCTGTTCGGCCCGCCGCACTCTCCGTTCGCCCCCGAAGGAGGTGGCAGTCTGAATCAGGCCCTGGCGGATGCGGTCATAGAAGGACATGGTGCTCTCGCGGGGTTCGGTCACGGCACGCTCCATGTCCTCGGCCACATAGACGCCGACGCGGAGTATCACGTCGCCCTCGCCCGGGTGTCCAGCCTCTTTCCAGGCAGCCCGGTACTCGGAGATGGCTTCGGCAACGTCGGAGACTCCGGAGCCACCCAAGCCGGCGAATATGGGGATGCCCAGGCGTCCCATATCTGCGAAGGTTTCCCGGGTGGATGCGGCGTAGCGCAGCGGCGGGTGTGGCTGCTGGTAGGGTTTGGGAATCAGACAAACGTCCTGGAAATTGTAGTGTTCGCCCTGGTAGGAGAAGCGGTCTTCGGTCCAGGCCAGCTTCATCACCTGGTAATACTCCATGAACCGTTCCCGACTCTCGGAGTAGGGAATGTCATACCCGTCATAGGCCCAGGGAAACCCGCTGCGGCCGATGCCCAGGTCCAGCCTTCCCTGGCTGATGTTGTCCAGGGTAGCCACCTCCTCGGCCATGCGTACCGGGTGACCCAGGGGCAACACCAGCACCGCAGTGCCCACCCGGATGCGGCTGGTCCTGGCGGCTATGGCGGTGGCGATTATCAGCGGCGAGGCCACCACTGAAGGAATTGCCCGCCCGCTGCCCGGGGGAGCAAAGTGGCGTTCTGCCAGCCACACGCCGTCGAAGCCCCATTCCTCCGCGCTGGTGGCGGTGGTGAAAGCCTCGTCGAAGGCGTCGGATTGGGTTCTGCCTTCCCGGTAATCGCATTCCATCATCAGGCCAAATTTCATGCTTCGCTCCTTGGGGACTCGGTGCAAGGCTGGCCAAATAAGCCCGCAGTCACGCCAACTATTTGGGCCAACGCTATCACTTGCCGACAACAGCGTCAAACGGGAAAAGTCAGTCACCGGGTGCCGGCCTGGGTGGTTGGGTTTTCGAGAAACGGAGAAGCGTAGCATCAATTGACGCTCTCCGCTTCGCCATTGTCGCAGGAGGGGCCAGGTCCAAAACGTTCATGCCGGATTCCACGCGCATCATCGCAGCAGAGTCCTCACTCGTTGTGGCCCCACACACCTGCTTGAAGCCTCCTCCGCCAGCAGCCTACCACCGCAGGCGCGGCGCGGCGCGGTTAGGCGACGGAAGTGTAGACTTGGATGAAGACTACATCCGCAGGGACAAGCTTCCCCGCGTGACCCGCAAAGGATTTTTCCTTGCTTGCACAGGCGTACAAAGGGGTGTACTTCGAAGATGACGAGTTGGTCCTCTTTCAAGATAGACGAATCCCGGTTCACCAGGCCACACCAGACCTCCTACGGCGAGATCCTCCTGGAACCTTGAAACCTCTGTCAGCAAAGCAGCTAAAGCTTGGAGTCTTCCAGGTCCAGAAAGGCGCGCACCTTTTGCTTGAACGGTTCCTTGTCGTAGTTGGTGTAGAGCGCCAGCGAGTTGCGTACCGGATTGCCGCCGAACATGCGCTCGTACAACACCTGTCGGCCGCTGAACGCGCTGCACGAGGCGTCCCACGCCAGGTGAAACAGCTTGGCCCGGTCCCATGCGTTGGCCGTATCGGTGGCCATGTACTGGTCAACCTCGGCTGCGATATCCGTATCGAAGTCGGCCTCGGCGGGCAGGGCCATCAGGCTGCTGGTGCCCAGAAGCTGGATGATCTCCACCATTCGCGGGTAGATCGACCGGCCAAAGATTGTCCGGCCCGCCCGTAATGCCGGCAGCGCCGGACTCATAACCCCCCACCGGTTGGGCGTCGCATCCGCCTCGGCGGCCCTGAGGCAGGCCCAAAGCGTGTCCCGCTGGGTGATAAGCTCCGCCACCTGCTCCTGGACGTGGGGAATAGTTCCCGACCCCAGGGTATCGACAATCAAGTCAGCCAGTCCCAGCATGAACTCGGCCTTTACCAGGCAGCGGGTCAGCACCTGGTGGCCGGTGTGGGCGTCGGAATTGGTCCCCTGGGCGTAGCCGTTGCAAAGCTCCACGTTCCCCAGCAGGAACACCCGCTCCCACGGCACAAATACATTGTCGAAAAACACCACCGAGTCCATTTCCTCAAAGCGTGAGCCCAAAGGATGGTTGAAGTGCGAGCGGCCCAAGTCGAAGCTTTCCCGGCACAGGAACTTGACGCCGGGTGTATCGCACGGGATGGAGAATGAGAAGGACTGGCGGCCGTCGTCACCTGCCAGCCGATGGGACGCCACCGGATAGATGGCAATCTCATCCGAGATGGGACCCAGGGTCGCCAGCACGCGGCTGCCCTTGACCACAATCCCCGCGTCGGTCTCCTTGACCAGGGTGAGGGCCACCTCTTCGCTCAGGGTGTCGGTGGGGTTGGAAGTGCGGCGCCGTTGCAGGTTGACCAGGGCGTGGGTCAGCGCCACGTCGTTTTCCCGAAGAAACTCGTGGTAGTTCAGGACGTTTTTCTCGAATTCGGGGCGGTCCTGGGCGAAATAACCGGAGGCCCCGGCCCACGAAGAGAATATGGTGTTAAGAAAGTCCGGTGATCGCCCCATCATGCCGCAGGAAGCCCAAGCCCACCGGGTCATCATGCGGCGGCGGCGTTCCAGGTCTTCCATTGTCCGGGGAACCAGGTAAGACAGCCCCACCGGGTCGCCCGTGGACGGTGAGGCGAAGGTCATCTCTTCCCGCAGCACCGGATCGTGCTGCATGTCGTACAGGGCGGCCACCGACTTGACACCGTTCTTCAGTGCTGGGTGGGTGGTCACGTCCTTTACCCGCTCCCCGTCAATCCAAACCTCGCGGGGGTGCTCCTGCAACCCCTTGATATACTCGGCTCCGGTACGTGCTGGCATCCTTTTCACCTCAACGTGAGGACTGCTCAGGGTGCTGGGCCACCGCCCCACCTATCCGTTCCTCCCAAGCCTGTCCAAGGATTTCCTTTAACCGACAGTATATACCGGTATAGTCACGGTACAACCACAGCCGGGCTAGCCTCCTTCCTCAAGCGTAGATCTGGAATAGCGAACAGGAAAAGAACGCATGAAGGGCCGCGCTCAGCAGGGAAAGCCCTTCGTACTTCCCTTGTCGAAAATCATCGGAAATCAGTCGCAGGTCCTGTCAAACTCAGGCTAATCAATTCGCTGTACCCGGAACTGCCATCCGATCCATGTCCTGAACCGAGTAAAACTAATATGGGAGCGCTAAGGCAGGCGCCCGCATTAGGGACACCCAGAAGGAGTTGTGTCCCAACCGCTAGAAGGGAGCAGGTGCTCATCCGCCTGGAAGGTCATGCCTGCCCGGGCCCCGGGGAAGTCTGTTCCCAGGGACCGACTGCCTGGTGTAGCCAGGCATCTTACGCCAAGACTAATGGTTAGCCCTGAACAAAATTACGGGCCCGTTCAGCCGCGATCTCCAGGGAGCGACGAATGAGGACAGCGGCCACGTCTCGGCGATACTCCGCAGAGGCGTGGACATCAGACTGGGGACTGAGGCCATCTTTGGCCTGTTCGGCAACGTCAGCCAGGATATGGGGGTCCAGTGTGCTGCCAACGAGGCCGGCCTCCAGGGATTTCAAGCGCAGCGGGGTGCCGCTTACGCCGCCGACAACTATCCGCGCCTGTTGGCAGAGCCCATCGTCGTCAATGCTTACCAGCGCGGCGGCGTTGACCACTGCAAAGTCGCCGCGCCGTCGGCTGACTTCCTGAAACCCCCATCCGGTACGGCCCGAAAATGTGGGGAATCGAATTTCTGTAAGGAGTTCGTCGGGCTCAAGCGCGGTGGCGAGGGCATCTACAAAGAAGTCCTCCGCAGCCAGGACTCTTTCGCCCCGAACACTCTGAACCTTCATCTGGGCCTCGGTAGCAACAGCAACAACTGCGAGCTCCGCGGAAGGGTCCGCATGGGCGACGCTTCCGCCGATGGTGCCGCGGTTTCTTATAGCTGGGTGGCTGACAAAGGCGAGAGCCTCGGTAATGAGGCCACATTCTTCGACAACGGCTGAGGACGCCAGGACCCTGCTCTGGCGGGTGCCCGCACCAATGGTCAGACCGGACTTGTCCAGCTGGATAGAGGACAAGTCTCCGATGGCGTTGATGTCTATCAGTGCAGCCGGCTTGAGCAACCGGAAATTGAGCATCGGCATCAGGCTCTGTCCGCCGGACAGTACCTTGGCCTCGTAGCCCCACTGGTGGAGGAGGTCAAGGGCTTCAGCCGTGTCGGCGGGGGCGAAATATTCAAAGGGAGCGGGTTTCATTGAGGCCTCCCGTGGGCGTATCTGGGTTCAATCAAGTAGCAACTGCTGTATTGGCCCGGGTTTCGCACCCGTTCAATCTCCCACACTATCAGTGTCCCCGGCAGCGGCCTTTACTGCCTCTACAATTTGCATGTAGCCGGTGCATCGACAAAGGTTGCCGGCGATGGCCTCGCGGATTTCCAGGTCGGTGGGAGTCGGGTTGTGTTCCAGCAGGTAGGAGGCCGCCAAGATCATACCAGGAGTACAGTAGCCGCACTGAAGGCCATGATGCTCGGCAAAGGCCCTTTGCACGGGGTGCATGTTGGACATAGTGCCCAATCCCTCAATGGTGGTCACCTGATGACCGTTGGCCTGAACCGCCAGCATTATGCAGGAGCGGACCAGTTCACCGTCAAGGAGGACGTTGCAGCAGCCGCAAACCCCGTGCTCGCATCCGGCGTGGGAGCCAGTCAGCATGAGGTCTTCGCGGATGAAGTCAAGAAGGGTCTTACGTACCGGTAGAACGGCGTTGTAGGTTGTGCCGTTCACGTTGACGGTTATGGCTCTGGTTGGCTCCGCCGATGGGCCCAGCATAAGCATTCTCCGCTTGATGGTTGAGATTAAAGTTTGAACTTAAGGCTTGAAAGGTCCCTGCGACCTGCCCAGGCCAATTCGTCGTTAGTCCTGCCTGGCGGAGAGGTTGCTCACCAGTTCGTGCAGGCCGGTAGGTGTTACCGGAATATCAGTCAGCTCCAGGCCGTAGCCGGACAGGGCGTCCTCTATGGCGCTGACAACGGCGGCCGGGGCGGTCATGTAGCCGCCCTCACCCGCGCCCTTCGCGCCCAGCGGATGACCCGGGGCCGGGGTGCAGACGTCGTCCACCGTGATGTGAGGCACCTCCATGGCCGTTGAGAGCAAATGGTCCATGAAGGTCTGGCTGAGCAACTGGCCGTTTTCGCTGTAAACGTACTGTGAAAGGAGGGCTGCATCGATGCCTCGCATGGTTCCCCCGAAGACCAGGCCTTCCACAATCTGAGGGTTCATCTGGACACCGCAGTCGTGGACAATGTAGTAGTTGACCAGATCGATTTCAAAGGTCTCGGCGTCCACCTCGACAATGGGAATGTGGGCGGCAAAAGCGAATGAGATGAAGCCCCGGGTCTTGAATGCGCCCTCGTGGGTGCCGTCCTCGCGTTCGCCGCTCTTGGGGTTGCGGTAAACGTAGGTCTCCACCAGGGCGGGCTCCATGTTGGAGGGGCGCAGGTCGGCCCGCCGGTAGGCAATCTGGGCCACCTGGTCGAATCCCATGCGCAGACTGGGAAGAAGCCGGGCGACAAACTCACCATCTTTGAGTTCAAGCAGGCTGGGCTCGACCCCCAGGGCCTGGGAGGCGATGGCTACCATCTTCTCCTTGATTTTGGCGGCGGCGCCCAGGACGGCGGCGCCCATCATCAGGTGCATGCGGCTGCCGGTGGTAGCCACCGAGGGTACGCCTCCGTTCGAGTCGGCGCGGGTCACCGAGACCTTCCCTGGTTCCACCTGGAGGGACTCGCATACCAATTGGGTGACCGTGGTCTCGTGGCCCTGTCCGGCGGACTGGAAGCCGATGGCGGCGGTTACGTTGCCGTTAACGTCTACCTGGAGGCGGACTCCCTCGCCCACATCTCCGCCCCCGATCATTCCCGGGTTGTTAAAGAGGTTAAAGACGCTGCCGGCACCGGCGCTGGGTTCGATGCAACTGGCAACGCCCACCCCCAGAAGCTTGCCCCGTGCCAAGGCTTCGGCCTTCATATCTGCTACCTGTGAATAACCCGACATCTTCATGGCCTTGGTGAGGACGGTGGGGTAACTGCCGCTGTCGTAGGTGGCACCGGTGGGAATTTCGTAGGGGAACTGGTCCGGTTGAATGAAGTTGCGCAGGCGCACCTCGGCCCGATCTATGTTCAGTCCCTTGGCCACCATGTCCACGGCCCGCTCGATGGCAAAGTTGGTGGGTGCCTGGCCGAACCCGTTGTAGGGGGCCTGGTTCGTCTTGCAGGTGAGTACCGAGGTGGGTGAATAGCGTACGGCCGGTATGGTGTACGGTCCGACCAGGGCGGTTATGGGCTTGCCTATCTGCATGGCGCCGCGACCGGCATAGGCGCCGGCATCGTCGATTACCGCCAGGTCCAGGCCTTGAATCTTGCCGTCGTCGTCACTGGCCACTCGCACTGTCCATATACGGTCTGGGCCGTGCGCGTCCCCGGCGGCCATGTTCTCCAGGCGGTCCTCGATGAACTTGACGGGGTGCCCTATGGCGCGGCTGGCGAGGCAGCAAAGGAAAATCTGCTTCCGGCCTCGCTTGTTGCCGTAGCTGCCACCGATGTCCACGTCCATGTGGACGCGGACGCGGTTGGAGGGCACACGCATCGTGCGGGCGATCTGTTCGTTGATCTGGGGGTTTTGCTGGGATGCCCAGACATCCACCATCCCTCCGATTTCGTCCCAGGAGGCCACGCAGCCGAAGGTCTCCATGGGAACCCCCGAGTGGCGATTCCAGCGGAACCGCCCCTCGAAAACGTGGGCGGCATCATCGAAGGCAGTGTCAACGTCGCCGAAGTCCAGTGAAGCCTGAAAGGCGATGTTGGAGCCGTGTTCCTCGTGCAGCACTGGCGCGTCGGGGAGCATCGCCTCTTCGGGGTCGACCAACGCTCCCAGGGGTTCGTACTCCACCTTGACTAGCTCCGCAGCGTCTTCTGCCAGATAGCGGCTGGTGGCAACCACCACGGCCACCCATTCGCCGGCAAAGCGGGCCTTGCCCACTGCCAGGGGATACCAGACAACGCTGGGCAGGTACATGTTCTGCGGTATTGGCTCCATCCACTCCGACAAGTCCTCGCCCACAATCACCTTGACTACGCCCGGCGCCTGCTCCGCCTCTGAAGTGTCTATGCTGCGAATAACCGCGTGGGCGTGGGGAGACGAGACGGTAGCCATGTGAAGCATGCCTGGCAGGACGATGTCATTTACATACCGTCCCTTGCCCAGGACAAATCGAGTGTCCTCTATGGGTGGGAAGTGCTTGCCAATCCATTTCCAATCCGTATTAGTTCCAGGAGTTGTCATCCATTCACCTCACTGGCTGCGTGCCAGGCATGCGGGCCCCATCTGGGCAGGCCGGTAATCCCGCCACCTATCTTGCTGGGGTAACCAATTCCAGGTTGTGGAAGTTGGGCTGGCTGGCAATAGTTGGCCACTCTGTACCCCGGCGATTGTTGCCGGACAACCAACTCCCAGAAGACAGGGGGCAAGACCCCTTTGAATTCACGATTGTAATACCCCTGAACGAGATAGTGTATGCACGGCTGTTTAACAGAGAGCTACGCAACCAATTGCACGGACTAAGGGAAGAGCCATCAGAGGGACCAAGGGGAACTTCCACGACTTATGAGGGAGCATTCCGGTTCCTTACGTTGGTGATGGCTGGTTCAGTTGCATCTTTGCTTCTGACGTGGTTAATCGAAGCTCTTTTAAGACTTACCTGACCCGAGCCTTTCCTCTGTTCTGATATTGCAAGGAAAGTAGAGGCAAGAAGAAAAGGGCCACGGCGTATTGCTGTGGCCATGACGTTCCCAAATGATT